GGGATGTTCTACTGGGAACTCACCAAGACCACCTGGCCTGGGTCTGGAAAAGCCTGGGACAAAACGGACTCTCTGAACATAGCGGACAATGAGGACTACTGAGAACTCAAGAACAATGGCAATGGGTTTCTGATCCTACTGCACGTACTGGCTTTGTGGGAGCCTAGGCAGTTTGGATGCTCAACTTACTAGACCTGGATGGAGGTGGGGGGTTCCCTGGACTTCCCACAGGACAGGGAACCCTGATTGCTTTTCGGGCTGGGGGGGGGGCTTAATTAGGGGAGGGGGAGGGAAATGGGAGGTGGTGGTGGGAAGAGACAGAAATCTTTAATAAATAAATAAATTTAAAATTAAAAAAAAATTAAAAATAGGGGCTGGAGAGATGGCTCAGAGGTTAAGAGCATTCCCTGTTCTTCCAAAGGTCCCGAGTTCAATTCCCAGCAACCACATGGTGACTCACAACCATCTGTAGAAGAGGTCTGGTGCCTCTTCTGGCTTTTAGGCATATATGCAGACAGAATATTGTATACATAATAAATAAATATTTAAAAAAATAAAATTTCTATTGTTCTTTGCTAGGAGGTAGAAACAAAGTTTTTGTACATTTCGTCTTATGACTTATAATCTGGCTTAAGTAAATGATTAGTTCCATAACTCCACTGTGTATTCCGTAGTATTTTTTGACTTGATGACGATGCTGACTAAACATAAGCAGAGTCTTCCGTCCACTCTGGTGCCTCACATCCCTTCTGCTTCTGAAGTGTTAAAGTGGCAGACCAAGCACCCTTGCACCTTGCCTGGTATTTGAGGATTTAATTCTCACAGAAATGTTCATTGAATCTGGCAAAAAGTTTATAGTGTATAAATTGAAATGGCTATATTTTTACTTAACTTTTATGTGTATGATTGTTTTACCCGCATGTATGTCTGTGTCCCACCTGCACACATGGTGCCTGTGGAAGCCAGAAGAGGGTGTGTGATCCCCTGAAACTGGAGTTATAGTTGGTGGTCAGTTGCCATGTGGCTGCCGGGAACTGACCTGGGTCGTCTGGGAGAGAAACAAGTGCTCTTAATCACCGAGTCATCTCTCCAGCCTTGAGTTTTGCTTTGTCATTAATAAGCTGAGGAACTATTGGCTGCTAACAGTTGCTCATGACCCAATAGATGGCCCTGTTCGTGCATGATCAGCACTAACTGGACTCAGAAAAGTTAAAAAGACATGAAGTCGTCTCTTTCCCATCTTGCAAGATGGCGGGTGAAAAAGGCGAGAAACCTGACACAAAAGAGAAGAAACCTGCAGCCAAGAAGGCTGGCGGTGATGCCCCTGCCGCTGGTGCAGCCAAAAAGGGTGACCCTAAGGCTAGAAAGCTCAAGAAGGGGACGCCCCATTGCAGCCGAAATCCAGTCCTTGTTAGAGGAATTGGCAGGTACTCCCGATCTGCTATGTATTCCAGGAAGGCCGTGTACAAAAGGAAATACACAGCTGCAAAAACCAAGGTTGAAAAGAAGAAGAAAAAGGAAAAGGTCCTTGCCACTGTCACAAAACCACTTGGTGGTGACAAGAATGGTGGTACCCGGGTGGTTAAGCTTCGAAAAATGCCCAGGTATTATCCTACTGAAGATGTGCCTCGGAAGCTGCTGAGCCATGGCAAAAAGCCCTTCAGTCAGCATGTGAGACGCCTGCGTGCCAGCATCACTCCTGGGACTGTCCTCATCATCCTTACCGGGCGCCACAGGGGCAAGAGAGTGGTTTTCCTGAAGCAACTGGGCAGTGGTTTACTGCTTGTGACAGGACCTCTTGCCCTCAACAGGGTTCCTTTGAGAAGAACACATCAGAAGTTTGTCATCGCCACCTCTACAAAAGTTGATATCAGCACAGTTAAAACCCCCAAATACCTGACTGATACTTACTTCAAGAAAAAGCAGCTGCGTAAGCCCAGGCATCAGGAGGGCGAGATCTTTGACACAGAGAAGGAGAAATATGAGATTACAGAGCAGCGCAAGGCTGATCAGAAAGTGGTGGACTCACAGATTCTGCCAAAGATCAAAGCTGTTCCTCAGCTGCAGGGCTACCTGCGCTCTCAGTTCTGTCTGACCAATGGGATGTATCCTCACAAACTGGTTTTCTAAATTGCTGACAACCTAATTAAACAACTTTATGTGTCTCAAAAAAAAAAAAAAAAGACATGAAGTCCTGAGGGAGGTGGGTTGGTGGGCCCTGGGAGAGTTCAAAGGGGATCATGGAGGATGTGTACATGTATAAAATTTTCAGAGGATAAATAAAAATAACAACATTGGACTGGGGAGATGGCTCAGCAGTTAAGAGCACTGGCTGCTCTCCCAGAGGAACAAACATCTGTGATCCAGTCCCAGGGGATACAATGCCCTCCTCCAGCTTCCAAGGGCTCCAGTCACGCATGTGGTGCACAGACACACACACAGGCAAAATGCTCATCCATGTAAAATAAAACAATAAAAACAAAAATAAGCGTGTTGATACGGTGAGTTTATGCTGATTTTTAAAATGCTACCCTAACATTGCATTTCTGTGCTAAACCCAGCACGGTCAGGTAGGTCGGGTGTTTTATGTATTGACTTTTGTTCAGTTTCATTTGTAAGCTCTGTGTATTTCCACCTGAGGAACATCAACTTCCAGCTAGGTTTCTGTATCAGTCAGTGTTTGTCTTAGAGGAGGGTTGGGAAAGGGCTCCCTCTTCTCAAAGTTCTAGAAGACTCTTTCTACAACCCAGATCCTTGCACGTGCTAAGCAAATGTTCTACCACTGATCTGTACCTTCAGCCCTTGAGCTGATATGACTTACTTTCATCTTAAATGTCTGGTACAGTTCAGCAGGGAAGTCCTCTGGAGTCACCTTTGAGGAACCCATTTAACTATGAACTCTTTTTTTTTCCCTGAAGATAGAGGGCTACTTATACTTTATATGAATATAAGCTTTCATTCTCTGAAATGCATGCCTGGTAGATCAAGGACAAGGTCATACAGTAATTAAATATTTTGCATTTATAGAAACGGCAGACTGCTTTACAGTGTGTCTGGATTTTGCACTCCCACCAACAATGAGCTAGTGGCCTGGTTGCTCATCTTGTCAGCACTCGGATAGACATGGCATGGCAATGCCCAGAGTTCAGCTTGTGTTCCTCTAAGGTGGGTGACACCCAGCCCCTCTGCATACTTATTCAGCACACCCGCGGGGCCTCTTTGGTAGCATGTCTGCATGTGTTCTGCAGGTTTTCTAAGTGGACTCTTTGTTTCTATGGCCCTGGGAATTGAACCCAGGATATTGTCCATGCTAGGCAAGCGCTCTACCACTGACTTATGCCTCCCCAAACCTTCTTAAGCTTTTCTTAAAGGTCTCGTTAAATTTCCCAGGCTGACTATTCTAAGTTTGCTTTCTGTTGCAGTGATAAAACATTCTGACCCAAAGCAACTTGGGTCAGGAAAGTTTATTTCGTCTTATAGGTCACTGTCCTTCATTGAGGGGAGTCAGGGCAGGACTTAAGTAAGAACCTGGAGGCAGAGGACATGGAGGAACCCTGCTTGCTGGCTTCCTCTCTCTGACTTGTTCAACCTGCTTCCTCTCTCCCTCTCTCCCTCCCTCCCTTTTCTTTCTTTCTTTCTTTCGTTTTTTTTTTTTTTTTTTTTTTTTTTTGTCTTGTTTTGTTTTTCAAGACAGTTTCTCTGTGGCTTTGGAGCCTGTCCTGGAACTAGCTCTTGTAGACCAAGTTGGTCTCGAATTTACAGAGACCCGCCTGCCTCTGCCTCCTGAGTTCTGGGATTAAAGGCGTGTGCCACCACTGCCTGGCTTCAGCCTGCTTTCTTATGTCTTCTAAGTCCACCTGCCCAGGAGTGGCACCGCCCACAGTGAGCTGGGTCCTCCCACATTCATCATTAATCAAGAAAATGTTTGCCCGTAGGTCAATCTGATGGAGGTAATCCCTTCCATCTGGGAAGAACATTTGGTTTCCTCTTCCCAGATGACTCTGAATTATGTGGAATTGGCATAAAAACAAACAGAAAAACCCTAGCCAGAACAGTGGTCTTGGACTAAACATAACCCAGGCAAATCTGGAACTTCTGATCCCCCTGGTTCAGCCTCTGAGAAGCTGTGATTATAGGTAGGCCTGTGTCACAAGGCCTAGCTTCTTTCTAGAACTTTTATAATTTTGTGTTTTATATTCAAGCCCATGGTCTACTTTGCATGCGCATGATCTAATCTATCTATATGCGCATGAAGACCAGCATTTAGATTGAGGTTCCTCATTTTGCCTGTGGTTGGTCAGCTGTTCCCATTCTTTGTCGAAAAGGTGATCTTTCCTTCTCTGAACTGTTCTGAGCCTCTGTCTAAAAGCAGTCAGGAGGGGCTTACTGGGTATTCCTGCAATTGTTCTAATGGTCTATGCAGCTGTTCCTCCACCAAAGCCATGCTGTCTGCATCAGTACAGCTTCACACACACACACACACATACACACACACACATTAGCTACAGTGCTTTTCCCCTTTCATTATGGGTAGATGTTTTCCTGCTGTTCTGTATGCCTGATAATATTTGATTGTTTTCCAGACAATGTAGATATTTTGGTTTCCCTATTATTATCTGGGGGAGTTGTTCTATAATACATGCAGTTAAGTTACTTGGAAACAGTTTCATCCTTCCAAGCCTTGTCCTTCAGACTTCTACTAAGGGAGCATGGCCATTTTACGTACTCTACAAGTACCTACGGGAGGACGGGGTTTCCCATTCTCTCTGACCAACGCATCACTATTCTCAGCCTTGGGGGAACTCAGAGCACAGCTCCCTCCGATCACAAGTATCCTGAGATCCTTGGGCCACATTTGGAGAAACACTGGTGCATCTCAATGTACCAGCTGCTTAACAGTATTGTATATGGCTGCCATTTTCCCAAATTGGGGGCTGCCCCTGATCTCTGAGACTCAAATGAATGCACGAACCATCTTCCTCAGTGCACCAAGTTCCCACCTGAATATCCTGGGGGATGAGATCCTTGCAGCCAAAATTATAAGCACGGAACTCTCCTCCGGTCACAGAGGCTAGCTCCTTCAAGAACTCATTCGCAACCTCATCATTGTAATTGAAGGAGATGGCATAGATAGGAATATTCTGGAAAAGTTTGACGTGGTCCATCACCATTTCTGGTGGCTGAAATGACAAATAGGGGAAATGGGGAAGGGTAGAAGAGAAAGAAAATGGTATCACATGACACAGTCTTAGCATTTGCCACAGGCAGTCAGATTCCGAGACTGGAATAGCTTACACGGTGAGCAACCCTTTGTCTCTGTGTTAGTTCATTTCCATATGTAAACAGCCTACTAAAAATCATGGGGACCCAAAGGCCATGGTCTTGGCCCTCTGAACTTTCACTCTGTGGTAGGAAAAGGAACTTAGGAAAAACGTTTGTCTAACAAAATCACCTCAACCTGAAACATACCTACGCATGGAGGCCATGCCAGCTGGGCTGTGGTCTGGACTACAAAGAGTACTAGGATGGAGCCCCATGTACATCCTAGTCACTGGGATCCCACACAGTGGGTGCCCGGTTTCCCAGTTTGGATTCCAAACATCTCTACCAAAAGAGTAATTTCAGCTTTTGCCATGTTGTAGGCGATTTGCTTGTCAGAGATAGAGGGAAAGAAAAAAGAAAGACCCCCTTGTTAGAGGTCTGTCCATGCACTGGGGACTTCATTTAGGGCTTAAGTTCCCAGCTCCTCCTTAAAACCACCAGTTACTCCTTCCAAGCATCTTGTGGGGTAGCTTTGGAAAGAATGACGCCCCCCCCCCCACACACACACACTACTATCCATTCCTCTTGTCATTTTAAGCTATAAAAACACTGGGTTTCTTTCCATGATAGTAATATTGTCAGCTAAAAAAAAAGCACAAAAATAATCAATAATAAGACAGTAAAATCTACCATTTACAGTTAGGAGTAGCCAAACCACCCAGCTCTGACTAATGAGACCTAGAAGTTCTCAGGGAGAGATTCCCTTTCTCAATAGAAAGAAAGACAGGAGTCTAACGTCCTTCTCCATTCCTGGGAAATGGACTCTCTCCCTGGAACAGATGTGACAACGAGGATGGAGCATATATTTGAAGATGGAGTGTGGAAACAAGAGAACGCCTGCTCTCTGAGACACACATGCGGGTCACTGTAGAACTAGGCTGGCTACAGCTGGATTTCTCACCCCTGCAAAGGAAGCTCTCAGTCGGCCGCCATTTGCCTGTGATACAGCCTTTCCCAAGTTTTCCCTCCAAGTAACACATAGCCAGCACCTCCATTTCATGGTGGAGAAACTGAGGCTCTGTACAGTTAGGTTTCCCTATGTCACCAATTTCTCGGGTGGTCAAACCGGAGAACAGGAGTGCTGGCAAAGGACCTACTCCCCTGGAGGATGACAGAGATCGCCTCTTGACCACCATCAACTAGCAGTACCATTGCTTACCTCCCAGGAAAGAATTCCCCTGCCATTTTCTCCCCATTACAGCCCAACTAGCGCCTTCAGAGACTGTCCCCAGCCCTCCCAGGACACTGCCTTCTGTTCTCAGTGTTACAAATTCCTCTCTGATCATCCTTCGACCACTTCTATCTTCTACCTGTGGTTCTTGCCCTTCACCCTTTAACCTTGCCTCATCCTTTTCCCATGAAGCTCTGGGGGAAAGGGTGCTGAACAAGAGGGGACTGTACTCAGAGCTAGCCGGCCTTCCCTGAGAAGGCGTCTGTTTAAATGGTCCCCAGAGACTGAGCTTCTGTAAGCCATCACTCACACACATCCTCAGTCTATTTAGCTCTAGCCTTGAGCCCATGCTTACTCATAATTTCCTCTGACCGTCAGCTGGCTTACTAGCCAAACATCCATTCAATGTAACCAACAAGCTGCAGCCCCTGTTTCTCTTGCCAACTACAGGGCCTGAGAGAAGTGCGCCACCCTGCCTGCTCCTGGCTCAGCTCCCCTTTCTGAGGGCTTCCTAGATGTTAGCAGGCTTCCCCTGGCATCCTTCTACAATCTTCTGAGGTAGGGATGAGGGCTTCACTTCTTACTAGGAACACCCAGCCTCTGCTCCTTGACTCTACACACCAGACAAGAGACAGGACCTCCTCATTTGGGTCACCAAATAAACAGGGTCAGCAAGGGCCGCCCTTACATTGACTTACAGCTAATACACCCGAGAGGGGAAGGAAAACAACAGTGCTATAGCTCTAGCTGCATGCTGGGAACCATAGCAGGCGCCTCCACCTCGTTAGCTACGTGACATCATGCATTTATTTGCCCATTGCCTCTCCTTCCACTAAAAGCTTCATCAAAGATCAGCCCCTTCTCCATCTTGCTCACTCTTATAGCTTCAGGCTGAGAAGAGAAGCCCTGGTACTCAGTCAATATTTATGGAGTTCATTTATGGAAATACCATATCATTTGTTTTCTCAGGACCACCCCGCGAGGAAGGAGGACTAGCCTTAAACTACAGCTGAGGGACTCTTGTCTAAGAATGCTCTGATGGACAGTGTTGGGTCAGTTCCTAACCCAGGTTTCCACCTCTAAGATATTCTATCCAGTTGAAAAGCACATTAGAGCAAGATAGCCCACCACCTGCACCCAGGCCCAGACCCCACAATGCTAAACCCACATGGTGTTCCAGCGCCCCCCTGTGGTACTAGACAGTTGGGGAGAGGGATGGCGTGCCCTAGACTGGAAAGCAAACTCGACGCAAATGCAACAGCCATTCCTATCTTCTGGCTGCTCGAGACTGCCTCAGCTGGTTTACACCCTCAGAACACCGCAGAGGAAGACTCTGAAGGTCAGCATCAAGCTCTTCCCACAACACCCTGGCTTGCTCTGATTCTCCACAGAGACTTCCTGACAGGGTCCTCCAGGCTGTGGAGTGGAGGAGCCATAGCCTCTTGTACTCTTGTGGAAGAGTGAGGAAGCTTTTCTCATCCCAGGGACTCTCTCCCGGGTTCCTCACAGAGGCCGGCAGCTCTCTCCAGTCCCTCAGAGAAGGCTGAGCAAGGTGCGCAGCTAACTCTCCATCATCAACCCAGAGCAGCGGCAGGAAAGTGGGACCCTGGGTTTCCTTGCTACCTTAAGGTCTACCTGGGCAGGCTCCTCGCCTGTGACTTCGCCATCCTTAGACTCCATAGGGCCTGTGCTAGGCTTTATCCATTATTCTCATCTTAGAAGGATACAAAAGTATTCGTCACGTCCACTTGGAAAGACTTTGACTTTGAAGGAGTCCTAAAATAACCACAGCCAGAGCTGGACTAAACTTTGCCCACGCCCACCAGAGTACTGTTGTGTAATGGGACCCTTTTTACTTTATGAAGACTGACATTTCTAGAATTCTTGGAACATGGTGAATTTTAGAGCGTGTCACCTTCTGATGCTGGCCTGACTGTGGAACGAACAGGAAGTGGATGCCGGTGGATCTAGATTGTCCACATGGTCGTCCAATAAGGAAACACTGCTGAGCATTCTGAATCGCACTGGCCCTACACAGTGAGCTTCCTCAAAGGTAGTGAGAACTGGCAAACAAGAATGAACCTACCCCATTCCCACTCCCAAACCTCCCCCCCTCCCCCAGCTAAACTCATAGGAAGAATGTCCTGACAGAGCCTGGGGCTCTTGGGCCAGTGTTAGCTTAAACTTGTTATCACTACTGAAACCATGGAGGCTTGGTGGGGCTCCTTAATATATTTTACACAGAACACAAATATCTGATATCCATTTGCTTTTTTGACAGAATCTTCAGAAGAGACTTGCGTGTGAAAAGGTAAACACGAACACCAAACGCTTTGACGCATTTATAGGGTTAGGTTTGGGTAATCGTCATTCTTGGGACTCTGACTGTCACCTTTGTGTTCAAATGAACCACAGTCTCTCAGAAAAGCTACTCATCTTTAGAAAGCTACGTGAATGTATTTGGATATACTGATGTGAGATTTCAGGACCCTGGAATGCTATGCTGTGGGAAACCCTGAGCTATTGAACCATCCTCGTATTTCTTGGGGCTTCTGGGCATCCATGTAGCCCAAGCACACAAACAATATGCTCACTAGAACCCCAACCCTGTCTGTTCTTAATTGAAACTTTGCTTGCGTTAGTAATATCACAATGAGCCAGAAAGCAGTTAACCCCTTTCCAACTTCCTCTGCCTTCTCCTCTCTCCCACTGCCTGCTACCAAGCTAGGCACCAAGTCCCACTGACTCTAAAGGAAGTCCCTTCCTTCCCAATTCTCCTGCTGCCAGCTGACACTGCTGACAGGCCCTTGTTGAGGTCCCAGCAGAAGCTCTGGCATAGCTGGCATGTCCCTGGCATTATCGGGGCGTCATGCTTCCAAACTAGGGAGGGGTGATAAGTTCTGTTCCTATGAAAGGTCCCCACTGTGGGGACCTGCACAACATCCCCACAACAAACAGTGCACACTTCCGTCATGCCCTGATTGTTTCTCTAAGCATGACCCTCATGCCTACCTTTCTGTACCTCCCACCTAGGACAATTCGGCTTCTTCTGTTCAGAAAGTTCTTTCTCTTCTTTCCAGACACAGCACGAATGCCCCCCTTCTACTTAGAGAACCCTCCCTGGTTTTTCTGCCCATCTTATATAGCTAAATCCATTCCTCTGTGCTGCTAGACATAGACCAGACAATCTCAGCCCCTGGATTGTATCAAAATAGACTGTATACTTCTAGCGCATTCCCTAAAGGTAAACTTCCCTAAGGCGAGGATCAGTCAAACCTTGGCACCACCCAGGACACACATGAGAGTGACAGACTGCTTTTGAATAGAAACCGCAATGAAGTTGACAGGGAAAGCCTTCCAAATTCAATTTCCCTGAAATGCCACTTCTCTGCCATGAATCTAATGCAGTAGTAAAATCCGGTGGCTTTAGTATTTAATCCCTGAGTCATTTGACACGGTACTTTAGAACAGGCAGTCTGCACATATAAACATCTTCCGAGGCAGGATACATGTTGATACTAATTCACCTTAGCAGTTAATTTACATTGTGCTGGCCTGGAAAATCCTCGTATTTACTTAACGCGGGGAGTCCTCGTCTTTCATTCACAAAGCTCGAAAGAAACAGAACAGACTCTTCTAAAACGTCTCAAATATTTCCCAGGCAGGCTAAACAAAGCCAAGAATGTCTCAGTTGAAAGGCCTGCTTTTGTTTAAGTGAGGGTGAAGCTAAAATTAGGGATAGAACCAAGGGTGCGGCCCAGTGACATGTTTAGATTGAGTCCTCAAAGGAAAGAAATGGAAGGCAGTCTCGGCGGTCCTCCTTTGTCATAAACATAAGCCAGGGTGCCGTGGAATGCAGCGGCTCCTTCCCTGGTGTGGCCTCCAGGCCTGTGAATATGGGTCACACTGAACATAAAACATCATCACCGTCACAATGCCCATAAATGTTCCTCAGTTGTAGAAGACACGGTTGGCCCTTGGTGTCTTGTCGTACCTCAGTTCTGCTTCCCTATGCCAGGGACATACCTCTCGATAGCTCTTGTTGGGGTGGTGCTGGGGACTCTGGATATTGAACATAGAGCCTCTTGAATGCTTAGAAAAGTACTCAACCCTGAGCTCTATACCCTTAACCCTCTTTAAAATTTTTCGGAACAAAATTTTGAGATGGGGGTTCTTGCTAAGTTGCTTATGCTGGTCTTGAACTCGTTCTATAACCAAGCAACTGTTGAAATTGTCATTCTCCTGCCTCGGCCTCCTATGTAAGTAGGATGGCAGGTTTGAGTCACCAAGATCAGCTTCTCTGCCTCGTGATGTCTCCTGGAAAGGTCTCATTCCCCCTCTCAGCATTCCCTTCCCACGACATTCTTCAACTGGTATTCATTAGTCTTTTAGTGAGTACCTGATCGGGTCTCCCATCCGTCAAAAGGTAGACGGTTTCTGTTTCTCTGTCAGCAAAAGCAATTTTCAGGGCGTTCAGGGTATTTGTGGAACTTCCAGCCTATGGGGGAAGAAAAGAGGCAGTCAAAACAGTTTGCACAAACAAGTGAAGTGTATTCTCTGCTCAGTGCGGGTGTGTGTGTGCGGGGGGGGGGGGGGGGGGGAGCAAAAAGGCATCTGAAATAAGAGACAAAATTTCATTGAGAAAATGACTTAAGACCAGGGATTTCAAGAAACCAAATTCCCAGGTGTGCCATCAGAGTCTCTAGCCAGGTAGTTCAAGATCTGCTATGAGCCAAGGCTGTGGGTTTCCTGTCTTGACAACTGGGGTCTTAATGAAATTTTCGTCTGTGTTTTTGTGTGAGATACTCACTCACTCAAGGCTGGCTTTGCTGTCAGCAGAGTTGGATCAAGCTGCCTGAATGCATCCCAGTTGGGATCATGTTCGTTTCAACTCAGGATTTATTTGTGCCACCCAGAATTCGGCAAACTCGAGTGTGGTCTTATTGCTGGCCTAATGATGAACACACGAATGTTTCTAGCATAAATCCAACCTACAAAGGTTAGGGTGGAACACTGACCTTAAATCGCATGATCGCATGACATATTTTTTTTTTTTTTGGTTTTTCGAGACAGGGTTTCTCTGTGGTTTTGGAGCCTGTCCTGGAACTAGCTCTTGTAGACCAGGCTGGTCTCGAACTCACAGAGATCCGCCTGCCTCTGCCTCCCAAGTGCTGGGATTAAAGGCGTGCGCCACCACCGCCCGGCTCGCATGACATATTATTGGATCTTATGTGAATGCATGGAGTCCTGATGCTCTGCTTTGTGTATGATGAAAATAAACAGACGTAGCAGGCAGCCTGGATCTATGGGTTCCATACCCCTGGGAGTCAATCAAGCATGTTAAAAATATTACACAGACACTGAATATCGAAAAAAATTCATTATTCCCCAAGTAATATATTATTGTAAGCATTCGCTATACTATTTTACATATATACTATATACAGCACTGTATTATGTTACAAACATGTAACTTGAAGGTGATTGAAAGAGATATAAAAGGATATGCATATTCATATGCAAACATGCTCCATTTTATATAAGCAAGATCTGTCAACTGGGGTATTCGTGGGGAGGGAGGGTGATCCTAGAACCACTTCCCCATGGCTACTGAGGGCTAACTGTATAAATTAAAATCATAATTAATCAAAGAGAATAGATTACGATTTATTTTCTCTCTTACATATAACATTAATCATAACACCACAATTGTTTGTACAAAAAAGAAAAATAGATAAACATTGCATGTCAAGGGGAAATAATGATAGGTTTTTAACAATGTCACCAAACACATCAAACAGTTATAAATTAGAAAATCTCATGACTCAGTTTAGCATGGTAAGAAATCAAATAAATTAGATTCGCCAGAGTGCACTTGAGTCAACACACAAAAATGAGCCTTACCAAGAAATAATCTTTGTCTGTAAGAACACATGGGACCTCAAGATTTCCAAAGCCTACTTAAGCCATCCCCCGCATCTCAGACCCAGGGTATCAGTTCAGCCAGAGTTGTAAGCTAGAAAAACAATCGTGATTGATCCAAGCAAGAAGAATTTATGCAAAGGGCATCTGGATAGCCTGCAGTCTTAGCATCTGGCAGGAAAACCTAGCTCGGGACCTCACACCATGGAGCGGGGCCCCAGTCCTGCTGCAAGCCTGCTCGGCAGGAGCCCCACTGCCACACCACCAGCACACCAGATGCTGTGGTTAGCCACACCAAACAGGGAACTGTCGCCACTAGGTGGACCAGCAGCCCACTGCCTCTGCCACCCAAGAAGCTTCGCCAGTCTGCACATGCCACCACTGTAATGGTTGGTAGACCCGCCATCTGAAGTCACTGACTCTCAACTCAAATTCAGGGAGAATACTCCGAGGTTGTGTGCCTGCGCCTTCGTACTTCCTCCTGAGTTGAATGGAGGCCAGAGTTTCTGCTTCCATATGGTGAGCAGGTTCTACGGCCCTTACTGGAATCAGGATGAGAAGATGGAGACGGTGGGCCAAAGGAATGGAAGTATCCAGCCCATACTCAAATCTTGTCAAGCTTCACAGTGGGCCTTGAATGCCCTTTCTGCTAGGACCTGCTTAAACCCAGACCCAGGTGGGGGTGCAATGACTCCTCCCACGCAGTTTCTCCCCCCTGGGCCTCTTCCAGCAGCCTCCACTAACTTTCCACAGGTAATAATAAGCCCCAATACTCCTGCCATGCATCATGCTGGGAATCAAACGCAACTGACTGGACCAGGCCAACGCTGTCTGGAGAGGGCTTCCTGGGCAATGCTAAGAGCCTGGATACACATCCCAGCGCTGTGCTAACATTGCTCTAGTGATGCCCAGCACAGGCTGCATTACTCTAACTGAGTGCATAGCTAAAGACACCTCCAGGTGGAGCTGGCATGGAAGGCTAATAAAAGATGGATGGATGAGCAGGCAAACAGAGACGACGATGGGAAGCCCCGCTTCCAGTTTTGTTCAGGATAGGATAAGTAATTCTATCACTATAGCATCCACATGAGGTAAACTGTTGGGAAAGTCATGGCAGTGCTGACGATAATAGAAAAATCTGCTGAGTATATCCTGGGCTAGGCACCTACAGCTCCTGCATTTTTACCCTGCAGTCGGACTTAGCAATTTCCATTCTCCCGTCCCCAGAAGGTCACCCACCAGAAACAGGTAACCCAGGGATTTGCCTTGCACCCCTGTGACAGCACCAAGTGGGTACTGAATGGGGGTCCCAGCAGCATGAGGGGGCTCTGAAAACTAAATTATCACTGTACCAAAAAGCCCACAAATGTAAACCAAATTGAACAGGCTAAACCTAAATACAGTGTCTGCTGGCTAAATGAGAAGACTTCAATGGGATTAGCGCCTCCTGATATAATAATAAAAATTTCCCCGAATGCAATAAAGAAAAATCACTCATTATACAAAGAGGTATAATGTCTGAGGAGAGTGGCCCAACTGATGCCCTCAGAGATCCCTGAGACAATAAAGCAGATGGAACATTAATACTGTAAGAGTTCCAGAAAAAGAGAGAGGGCAGAGTGAGGAATTTAAAAATATTTTTTAAAAAAGAATAGCTTTTTAAAAAAATCCCCAAGGGGCTCAAGAGATGGCTTGGGGCTTATAAGTGTGTACGGTTCTTCAGTGACTCAAATTTATTTCCCAGCACCCACACTGGGTGGCTCACAAACAGTTTGAGAAGCTTTCATGCCAATAATGATTGTATACAGAGGAGTCATCTCTGTTATACTTTTAGTATGTGTGGAGCATAAAGGGTGTAAACTGACATCAGGCTTGCTCCCTTGAAGTCAGAGCACATCAGATCAGGAGCTGTGTGACAGCCCCAGGAGCTGTGATGCCTCTGACCATGTGGGCATCACATTTGCATGCATAATCCCACTTCATACATACATACATAGACATAATTTAAAATAATAAAAATTTAAAAATCCTCAAATTTGCAGAAATTATAAAAACTGCAACTCAAGAAGCTGAGAAAACCCCCAATTAGGTTTAAAAAAATCTGTGAAAATCATAGCTAGATACATTGTATGCAAATTTCTGAAAATTAAAGAAACAAAACGAACTCCCTAAGAACAGCCCAAGAGAAATAGCATATTACAGTATCCATTAAAGAATTCCAATTTGGGCGGCAGCCACTTCTCATCTGAAAGCACAGAGACAAAAGGAAGCGACCCGACTTACTTCGGGTGTTGAAAGGACTGAATAACTCACATCTGGTGGAGACATCTACTCAGGGCCGATGGAGAACTGTGAGATTCTGTGGCTGGGAGTCTCATCTTTAAAGGGCGGCTAATGGAAGCTTACGACTCAAAAGAAATGGTAACAGAAACTCAAACCCTGAACATGAAAGTCATCAGAAAAGACCATCCTTAACTCCCCAAAGTTCCCAAGTCATGTGTTACAGTTTAAGAAGCTTTCATGCCGATAATGATTGGATACAGAAGAGCCATCTCTGTTACACTTTTAGTATGTATGGAGCACACAGGGTGTAAATTAATATCAGGTTTGCTCCCTTGAAGTCAGAGCACATCAGATCAGGAACTGTGATAAATGACAACTTTGCGTATGGAAAGCCACTAGAACAAGCATTCAGAAAACCACAAGAAGTGCTACAGTAAAAAGTGAAATGAAGAGTTACAAGGGAACACTAAAAGTGCCCAAAAGACCCACAAGAAGGCAAGAGAAACAATGAAACCAAGTATTCCACAATAGGGAATAACCAAATGGTAGACATTAGCCTTAGACATCAATAATACATACACACCCACACACCGTCTTATTACTCCATTACTTGACAGGGATCGGAGAACTTACAAAGTCTTGAGCAGATCCCTTAACATCTGGGGGGGGGGGGGCACTTCAAATACAGAAACATGGATAAGCCTGAGATCAAAGGATGAAAGTGATACATTGTCATAATAGTCTTTTAAGCAGGAATGGCAATGTTAACGGCACACTTTAGGTTTGTGGGGTAGGGATGTTGCTTTTTGTTTGGAGCTTTAATTTTGCTTTTGAGACTAGGTCTTGTTAGGTAGTTAAGAAGGGTTCCAACTCATTATCCTCCTGCCTCTACTTCCTAAGTGCTGGGGTATGCATGTCCTGCAAAGCCGGACTCACTCTATGCTTTAGAGCAGTGGAAATTACTAGGGACCAAAGAGCACATTAAATAATGACCGAAGAAGGCTCAGTCTACAAAGAGACCAACTCTAAATACAGAAGCGCCAAACAATAGAGTTTCAAAACACACAAAGCAAAATTTGATGAAGTTGAAGAAGAAAACAATAGGTAAATGGCTAATGATGGTTATTTTCTTTAATAGCCAGAACTGTGGGAGCTATTTTCCATAAATTTCAGTGTTTTGCTAAATTTTCCATAATTTCTAGTGAATTTTCCATTTTAATGAAACATTTTACAAATTTAAAAATAATTGAAATCATGCCAAGTTTGCTTTCAGTCATCATGAAATCAAAATTAATAACAGAAAGACAACTTGAAAATTACCACATACTTGGAAGTCAAATAATAGGTTTTAAATAATTCATGATTCAAAAAAGAAAACACAAAAAATTAAAACTAACTAGAAATTATGGAAAATTAAGTAAAACACTTAAATCTATAGTATGTAGTTACTACCATACTGGTGGGGAAATCTGTGCCCACAGTAGTTTACGCTGGAACAATGGAAACACCTCCAAAAGCAAGCTGTATTATTGACTAAAGAACCTTCAACAAGAAGAGCAATGCCCAGTCAGAGCAAGCAGAAATAGAAAGGATACAGGAGCAGAATCAGAGAGATTCAACAGTCCAGCACTACAGAAAACTAACAACAACAGGGTGGCTGTTTTTAAAACTGGGGACAGTGATGCCTGATATAATCTTGGCTCTTGGGAAGCTAGTGGGAAGCTGGATTTGGGCCAACCTGGGCTACACAACAAGAGACTGCCTCAGAAGAAGTCAGGCATGGTGGCATACACTGTATTCCCAGCTAAAGAGACTGAGACAGGAAGACCACAAGTTCAAGGCCAGCCTAGGCAACTTAGCAACCCTAACCCCAAACCGAAGATTCTAAAGGGCGAAGGATGGAGTTCACTGAGAACACTTGCCTGGCATGTTCCGATGTTCTGATTCAATTCCCAGTGTCACAAAACAAAACAAAACAAATCAAAAATCTGAAAAACGTTCTAGAAAATATCAATCAGTGTTCTTCAAAAGTGTCAAGATCATTCATGTCCAAGGAAGAATAAGAAGCTTTCTCCTACTGGGGGAGACTAGGGAAATACTGCAATTGGAAATGTTTAAGTGGAAAATCTGATGGGCTTTGACTAAGCTGCACTACCGTTCTGTTAATAGTACCAGTGTGAGCGGAGCAGAACCCACGGGTGCTCTCACCCAAAGAGAATGAATGTGTAATACCTCGGTAGACAGTGAGTGCTCCATTAACAACTGACCTCCTATTCCTGGTAGTTTGTAAAAAGAAGAGGACATTGGTAATACTGGAAACTTAACAAGTTGAGTATAGCCTTGACACTCTACCCAGGATAAGTTGGCCAATTACTTAAAAATATTATCTTTCTATTCAACATACTGCCTTCTTTTTCCATTTTAAAAACAACTCCTAAAGAACTTGGGACACTCCAGTGTCTGCCTGGGCCTGCTTTGATCAGTCCAGATTCAGGGAGTTCAGTAATGTCTGGTGTGGCTGCTGGGCAAATCTAGGACTCTATACTCAAGCAGTAAGCTATTTTAAGCAACTTCTTAACAGCCCTGTCTCAGATTTATAACTGTCTCTCAAATATCTGGAATGCCATATGGTTCTGGAGTATATTCGAGATTAAGAGAAGCTCAAGGCAAGAGAAAATTCTAAAAAAAGAAAGTCCTTCTCGGTAGCCTATGTGACAAGAAATAACAGCTTTCCAGTGTCCAGGAAAAACGCACTGTCTCCCTGGGTCCTCCTCCTCCTCTCTCCTCTTGCTCTCAGCTTTAGCTGCTCAGACTGTACTGTGCCCAGGAGTTCATTGCTTCTGAACAAAGTTCAGTAGGAACAGCTGCGTGGCCCCTCAGAGCCTTTGAAATGCTGATAGACCGTCAGATGGGACAGATCTGAAGGCCTGAGCACCCAAAATATTATCTGCTGAAATCTGTTTTCATCAAGAGGCTGCAACCTGAGCCCAGGACAGATTTGGAAAGAGAGCCACCTCGCCTTGTCCAAGGGTTATACACCCACAAATCCAACCAACTGAGGAATGAGTACACATGCATGTGCACACACGCACACACGTAGTAGTACGATTAATAAAAGCCCAGAAACAGAAACTGAGTTTCAACCTGAAGGTCAGAAAAGCAAAACAGCCAGCCATGGGCTCTTACCTCTACCTCAGTCCAAAATGGCGATTCTGCCTCCAGGAATCTCAGAATGAGACTGTGAGTGAGAGCTGTCTCCTCCCATTTTATATTCCTCTCCAGTATTGGAATTAAAGGCACGCACCACTACTTCCCAGTTTCTATGGCAAACCAGTGTGGTTACTGGGATTAAAGGTGTGTGTCACCACTGCCTGGTCTGTAAGGCTAATCAGTGCTGCTGTTTTACTCTCTGAACTTCAGGCGAGCTTTCATTATTAAATGAAATTATCACTACACACCCACATGCTCATTCGCACAGCTTGTGCACTTTTGATTGATTGTGTCTGGGCTTGGGGAGATGGTTCAATGGGTAAACCCTTTGCTATGTAAATGATGAGTATCTGAGTTTGAATGCCCAGAACTCATGTAAAAGCTGGGTGCAATTGTGTGCATCTGTAATCCCAGCACTCCTATGGTAAGATGAAAGGCAGAGAATTCCCAGAATCCCATGGGATTGCTACAGAAGCAGCAAATAACAAAGAGGCCTTGTCTAAAACAAGGCAGAAGATGTGGGCCAATGCACAAGGCTGTTCTCTGGCCTCCACAAGCTCATGTATGCCTGCATTCACAGGCACAAATCTGCAGACACACATATATAACATACACACGATGTGTAAATTCATATACATAAAAGATTATCTGTTTGGACCTATACAGGCTTTCCCCCCATCTTTATTATTTAAATGATACAGTATAATACCCGTCACTTGCACTGGGAGCTGTGGGTTTGTGGGGAGATAATTTTTGGCACATGGGGGGGGGGATTGTGTGGGCTCTCTGCGAATCTCACAGCATTTTATATTAGGGATTTGAGCATCTGTGGCTCTCATAGGATGCGGGGGAGGTCCTGGAACCAAGCTCCCATGGATACCAAGGGATGATGACTATAAATAGATGTTTATGTAGATGTTAAGATCTGACTAATGAGATTGGATGCATGTGACCTTTGCAGCCAAATAACTGCCCATGTATAGACACTGCCTTTCTTGGAGCTCAATCCATTCCTCAACAACTCCTAGCCCATGAGTGAACTCACCACCACGAGACATTCTCAGGCATCTCCCAGCCTAGACATTTTACCTTGATGTTTCTAACCCACGACTCGGCCTGTTCCAAATGATCGTCATTGATTTCAGTAAGTTTTTCCCGCCAAGCAGTTGCCTCACCATCAAAGGCCACAAAATTGAATTTACGCTTGTATCTCAACTGTTCCTGGAAGAAACAATTATTATTTAGCCATAAAGCCATCAAATGTAAGCAAAGCTGAAGTGAATCTCCAGGATATCCATTTTTAGCTCCAGAGGCTAGCTGAGAAGTATGTGCAACTGAAAAAACAGTTTCTGCTGCAAAAGGGATTTGAGCCAAATTTATAGAGTTTGGATGTTTGGCCGCTACAGATGTTATATATGAATGTACTGCTAGTATTATATGCCACCTACATATATGTAGGTAATATTGTACTGTAACATTAAATACTGACTTTAATACTGACACTAATGTAATGCTGATAAGCATGCTAAATGCATAAAGAAAGAATATTCAAAACGTCATCATTTCGGTCACTACCTCTTGGGAAAGGCTCTTATTTGGTACGTACATATTCGCTTGTCTTTCATCAGTCTACACCGTGCCGCCCCTACCCCAGAAGCTGGCTATATTTTGTATTTCTTAAACACTCTACACTCTCAGCACAACAGACTCATGACAATATTGTGAGACCTAGTTACTATGGAAACTGGATTCAGAAAGCAACCTGCTTCCAAGAAAATGATTCAGGGGCAGCCCAGGTGAGTGGGACAGAAACCGGGTGCCCCCATCATAGGCCTCCCCTCCTCCCATCTGCAACTTTGGGGCCGGTGCACACAGCTTCCCTAACAGACATAGGAAAGTAAGTTAAAAATTCAAGATAATAAAAATCTGGGAAACAACAGAGGTTTCTGTGTATCATAGGTTAGAGACAACTCCAGGCAGAAAGTATAGACACACACCTGAGTGACCCAGGGGTGATGGCGACATAAAGGACCGAATCAGAGGACAGGTCTGATTGCCAGGGAGCACTGAGAGAGTTCTAGAACAGCAGAGGGGCGCATTTCTGGACTGGCTTTCTCGGGAACCCTGCAGTGCAGTGTGGCCCTGCCCACTGTCCAGAGCCACTCCGGACAAGGACTACCGAAAGCATGTTTATGAGACAGCAGCCCAAGCACAAGCCCGTGACACCCCCATCTCACCCGTATGAGCCGGATGATCTTATCCTTCACCAGGTCCAGTTTGCTCTTCATTGAGTGAGATGTATCAATGAGGACGTAGACGCAATCTCCATACACTTTCCCAAAGAGGGCTCTACTCCCATCTTGCAGACACTTAATCCTAGACAGGAAAGAGTATCAAAATAAACAGAGTCTATGGACAGGATTGCCTTCATCGGAACACGGGGCTACAGAACCAGAACTCTGTCACGCTGTTTATACCTGATCTTTGATGAACGAATTCTTGACTTTCAGGTTTTAGTTTTTGTTGTTGTTTATTTTTCTATACAAAAAAACGCCTACATTTGAGGCTGGAGAAACGGCTCACACTTAAGATCACTTGTAGCTCTTGCAGAGGATTCAAATTCAGATCCCAGCATCCACATTAGGCAGCTCGCAATTACCCAGAACTCCAGCTCAGGGGGGACCCAATACTCTCTTCTGGCTTCTGAAGGCACTTTCATGTGCACACATGCAACCGTATCACACACACACACACACACACACACACACACACACACACACAATACTCTCTTCTGGCTTCTGAAGGCACTCTCATGTGCACACATGCAACCGTATCTCACACACACACACACACACACACACACACACACACACACAATACTCTCTTCTGGCTTCTGAAGGCACTCTCATGTGCACACATGCAACCGTATCACACACACACACACACACACAATACTCTCTTCTGGCTTCTGAAGGCACTCTCATGTGCACACATGCAACCGTATCTCACACACACACACACACACACACACACACACACAATACTCTCTTCTGGCTTCTGAAGGCACTCTCATGTGCACACATGCAACCGTATCACACACACACACACACACACACAATACTCTCTTCTGGCTTCTGAAGGCACTCTCATGTGCACACATGCAACCGTATCTCACACACACACACACACACACACACACACAATACTCTCTTCTGGCTTCTGAAGGCACTCTCATGTGCACACATGCAACCGTATCTCACACACACACACACACACACACACACAATACTCTCTTCTGGCTTCTGAAGGCACTCTCATGTGCACACATGCAACCGTATCACACACACACACACACACACACACACACACACACACTACTCTCTTCTGGCTTCTGAAGGCACTCTCATGTGCACACATGCAACCGTATCACACACACACACACACACACTCACACACACACACACACACACTCACACACACACACACTCACACACACACACACACACACACTCACATAAAAAGAAATCTTTTTAAGAAGAAAATTTTGCATTTCAACTGCACTCTTACCAGGGCCCTCCCCTTCCCATCACCAATTCAAGCGGGACAAAACAAAGAAAATCAATATGACAGAAAAACAGATGCAAAGAAAGCCACGAGCAAATAGCTTCCAGATCTCTACTATGTGGAGGCTCTCAGCTGTGACTCAAGAGGTCCCGAAATCAGCTCTCTCCCGAAGCCTGTGGGGTCTGTGGACAGGACTGAGCGACTTGGGGCCCTGAACCAACTAAGTACCAGGGGGTTGCATACACAGGGCTGCTGCTGTCGTCAATACTCGAGAGTTCATCACAGGATGCATTGAAACTCATGGCTTTAGAAAAAACCTTGCAGTGAGGGCTTGGGAAAGAGGACAGAGAAAATGCCTTATGGAATGGAGTTCAGCAAGTCTTAGGCAAGTGGGATTTGTAGGGCAAAATGCCAACCTTCATTTACTGTAGAGAAAGGTAGGGAGACTGGGAGGGATACAGAGCAGGTGGTGGGAGAGTCATACTCCAGATATCTGTGGTGTACTAGCGGTCTGGGTGAAGCAATGATCAGGGCATGTGTGTGCAGAAATTACAGAAGTCAAGGAGAAAAACCATCCAAGAGCGCTCACTGGAGCGTACACACCTGAGAACAGCAGCTCCTTTCCCCAGCAGTCAGGGCAGAGTGTCAAGTGGAATTCTCACTATGGTGCTACCTCGCTAGTAAAGCCAAGTCAGCCCTAGGATAAAGACTACTGTGGGCTTAATTAAACCTGTGTAACTTAAAATACAGATTAGACTCAAATTGTCTCTAAGCCATTTAACACACTCACAAAATATATATAAAATTGTAATCAAGTCTATCATTCAACAGTGTGAAAATTAAAAATGCCTGGAAATCCAGAAGAAAGGAGAAAATGACTCCCAGGCATACCAAGAAGCAGGAAAATATCCACGATTGGTGAAAATCTGATCAATAGAGCCCAAGCAACCCAGACACTAGAATTAGCTGAAAAGAAAAGGGGGCTATGCAGTCACTACAAATGTATTTCACGTGTCCAGGAAGAGAACCAGAAGAGAAAGAGAAGATGTAAAAAGGTCATCAACATTGCAAAAGAGGAAGTGGAATGTCAGAGACAGCGAATGGGGAAGAGTTCTGAGAAACGCTGAGTCCTAGACAAGATGTAGTGCCGTTCTCCTGAGCTCAAAGCAGCTGTGGTTACCTTTACAGGAGCTGCATAAAGCCAAGTCAGTTAGAAGAATCCAAGCCAGGGTGGGGCGGTGCTCCTGAGGCTCCAGGAGAGCACTTGCTGGGGAACTATCGGCAGTTTATTGCTGCTGGGGTAGGGACTTGCTCTTTTTGAGGGTGTTCTCGCTGGCAGGTTTCCTACACTCCAGTGGATGGCCCCATGCCCGTTCACATAGGGACAGCACTAACTAGTCTTAGTAGTTACAAAGAAGGAGAAGAAGGCGAAGAGAAAAGAAGAGAAAGAAGTCAGTGATGAGGACAGTGGCATAAAGCATTGCCATGTTAGGGGTTACAGGTGGAACTGAAGGAGGAAATTTCTATTTCTTTACATATATGTAATGGAATTCTCAAATATAAATACAAATTATAATAAATAATAAAATGTAAAACCCCCTAAGTGGGACACCTAGAAGGACACATCTGAACTGGTAAGTAAATTATATAGCATTCATAATAAGCGAGACAGCAGAGAAAAAGATCAGAGAATTTCTTATAGCATAGTAGTGAGAAACAATTCAAAGTGAAACAGAAAACTAGCAAGAAAAAGTCCTGTAACAACAAGAAGTGTGTCTGTAATTAGGCTCTGCAACAGACAGGAAAGGGAGAAACAGAAAAGAGAGTCAAAATAATGTTCTATTTTGATGAAAACAGTCTGCCCACAGATTCAAGGAGATCAAAGAACCTATCAGAAGAGAAGAGAAGAAACCATAGCAAAGCACATCACAAATTTGATGAAACCCAGTGATTAAAAGCAGCAAGGGGCAAAAAATAATAATAATAATAATTACAGTGCAGAGGAACAAGTCTAAGAATAAAGGTCTTCTTATCACAAACCATGCAGACCAGAATACACTAAAGATTTTAAAAAGAAACAACTGATAAAAATTTCTAGCTAGAATTCTATGCTTAACAAAAAGATCTTTAGAAGGGGGGGGGGTGAATTAAAGAGGTTTTCACTCTCACAGCGCTAACACAATCCATCACTAACAGACTCGAACCACAACAGATACTAAGGAGGCTTTTCAGATAGAAACGAAGGAATGCCCAGTGGAAGTCTGGATTTACATAAAGGAGTAAAGAGTAATAGAAATGAACAAATACAACTTGTATTTATTCTAAGTGTTAGTCATTAGAATAGGACATTAGACTATAGAGAAAACAGAAAAAATGATAAGATCCCAGATTTAAATCTAAGCGAGTTAAATGTGAATCATCATGTCACACCATCAAACATCTGTCTCCAAGAAGCCCAGTTAATGATGAGTCAGATAGGAAGAGAGAAAAAGAAAAAGATGAACCCTGGAGACAATGATGATTGTTAAGCTGGAGTCACTAACTACTCAGATATCAGAGTAAGTACATTTCCTAGTAAGGAATTTTAGCAGAGTTGAACAGGACATTTCATTATTATAAAGGAGCTGATCCACCAAGCAGATATAACATTCTTCAACATACATGCACCAACTAACAGAATTTCAAAGTAGTAAGGAAAAGTTGATAGACCTGAAAGAGCCACACAGAAATGACTCAGCGATTTCAACTTTTTTTCAATAATTTATAGAACAACTAAAGAAAAAAAATCAGTATGGATGACTAGCACAATACAACCAACAAAATGAAATTTATATATCTAACTAACATATACAGCCTACTTTCCAAGAAATGTTAATGTTGTCCAAGATCTGTACCACAAAATCTTTCTACAGAGAAGGAAACTCCAGGCTTTAAAGGTGAATTCTGCCAAACATATAAGGTAGAGATGGTGCCAATTCTCAGAGTTCTGCAGGAAACAGAAAAGGAAAAGAGCTCTTGATACCCGAAAGGCAAGGGACAAAGGAACCCAGAGGCTGGAATGCATTGAAAGCAGCATGTCCCCTACAAGACTAGAAACACAAACTAAAGAGTCATCTCTGAAGCCATAGCAAGGGAGACTCTCAACACAGGGAAGCTTTCTGTGAGTAATCCATCACCATGTGACCTTTGAGATGCTGGGGCTCTGGGTACAAATACTAGGCAGTTGGGTATCTGCTACATGAGACTTTGTAATAAAAATGGCACAAGGATGGAGGGGACGCTCATTTTCAAATGGTTGTAGCAGGCTGCCACTGGCTTAAACCCATTAGATTTAGCATCTGGCATAATCCACAGAGCAGATTTACAAATGTCATCACTATTCCCACTTTATAACCAAGGAAACAGATGCAGAAAAACATTAACTAACTTGCCCAGGGCCAACCAGCAAGTGGCAGAGCTGAGATTTTCATTGTTTTTTAATTTCTTATTTTTCCAGTTCTCTGAGACCTCAGGGCCAGTATCTCTAAATGAATTTGATCTCCATGGTCTAAAACTGTCTCCTGATATCTGATACCTGAGGGTGTTAATTTAAATTATCCACATGGAATCAACCCTGAGGTCATGGCATTAGTACACCATACTCAATGAGCATGGCAGATTGTAAGAGCACAACAGGATAAAGACAGATAGGAGGTCATGCATTCTCATTGTTTTCTAAAATATATACAGCATCTGATTATTTTGCAATTTGTCACAGCTATGTAAGAGCTGCCTTGAGCTGGAATAGTTCTGTAAGAGAGTATAGATGCAATATAGTCTACAATATACCCATGGCTCACAACTGCCCCCCCCAGCATAGATAGAAGTACCCCTTAATCTCCTAATAGCCATCACTTCAAAACTGCTCCTTTGGAAGCTGAGGAGATGGCGCCATTGACAAAGTGCCTGTCACAAAAGCGTGAGGACCCCAGCTCTGATGCCCAGCACCCACATAAAAGCCAGGGATAGTGGTACATATCTGTAACCCCAGTCCTGGGTAGACAGGCAGCTCTCTGGGGAGCGTTAGTCAGCCAGCCTAACTAATCACTGGGCTCCAGGTTCTGTGGGAGACCCTGCCTCAAAAATTCAGATGGACATCAACCTTTGTCTCCCTTCTAACACGCATACATGTACATATGTCCCCCCACCATGCACACACAATAACAACTCTGTGTTCTGTTTCTGATGAAATCTGAATACCAGTAATAATATCATCAATAAAGCATCAAATGGACTCTTTGACAATGACGTCTATTGGTCACTTCACTCAGTTGGGCTCATGCGGTATTGCACGAGAGACTACTAGCTCACTCGTGACCACATATGAACACACCAACCTCCTCTGGATCCTGGCCAGGGCTGTGTGAATTCTCTCACTGTACCATCTGCACTTCTCCTTGGTGATGCTGACGTGGACCAAGCTCCCATCCTTCCAGGGAACGTGGATGAATCTGTTGCAGTATTTGGCATGGATTGTCTTCCTATTGGAGTCCTAAAGAAAGGACAAAGTCACAGGCTCGAGCAGGTTCTCAGCGGGGGGGGGACCCACAATTCCTCACATGGGTCCACAAGAATAACTAGAAACTGAATAAAGTCTGGTCATCTCTGTATCCATCTTGTATCTGTCTCCTCTGAAGCCATTACCCGGTAAATCTGCACATTGGGATGTTAACTCCAAAGGAGTGCCTGAACATAACGTAACAGTGGCTAGCATTGCCCCTTCTGCAAGGATACCGATAAGAGCAACCGAAACATCTCACTGTGCAGAGTCCTGTTCCAGATCCCCCCTGATACCAGCCAAAAAGGCGCCTGAAGGTCTGTGCTAAACCTGCAATTTCTCCAGATTCCAGGAACAGTGGAGCCTCAAAGATACATGACTCTATAATGAGTGCCTTCCCCCACACAGCAGCCGTAACTATCTTACAAACCAATCCTCTCAACAATGGCGGTAACAACTTCAAACCTCACAGAACCAGATCTGAGGCAAGATCAAACAGATGGAGTTTGCCCAGGACAGCTGAAGTCGACAGCCCTTTCCCTTTGACCCAGTTCTTCCTGTATGAAGACTACAGTTCAAGGCGGTACCCCAAAGACAGACTTTGGGGTCAATGAACTTCTTTGACTACACTTCGCAATGTGAACAGCAGCATGTTGATGAAATCATTTACTCTTACCTCTCTAAATGGAATAATGGGATATGAATGAGCCCATTCTGTGGGGAATCCCAGGCCTTGGGCTTTGGGGCTAAAACTGTAATAACAAGGCCACTCAGAAACCATATAAGGAAGAAAAATAGCCAAGTAGCACCCCCATCTCTACTTGACTCGTACACCTCTAAGCACACATCTCCACTGAGAGATCATTCACGTCTAAACTCAACAAACATGTGCTGGTGTCTGCTTCACAGACAATCCTGTGATAGAGGCCATGGACAAGGTCAGAAGTACAAATGTGATCACATCTGTGTCTTGGAGAAGCCAGTGATTCCTGCAAGGGGAGGGAAGGAGAGGGGAAAGGAGAGAAAAAGAAAGGAAGAGGGAAGGGAGGTGAGGAAAGAAGGGGAGCAAAGAGAGATGGAAAGAGAAGGGGACGGGAGGGGATAATAGAGATGATAGGAAGGAAGGAAGGAAAGAAGAAAGGAAGGAAAGAAGGAAGGAAGGAAGGAAGGAAAGAAGAAAGGAAGGAAGGAGAGGGGAAAGAGCATTAGAAAATAAGAATTGATCCCTGAATTTAAAATTTCATACATCCCAGCTTCCACGGAGAAGTGGGGATTTTGCATAATCAGAGTAGATTCTGAGACACAGGAAGGGAAGGGAAGAGCTGGAGAAAGAGAATGGATCACATTTGTTGGAAGAGTTGGCCTTCAAAGAGAAACAGAAGGAAGCAGATGAGGCACAGGCAGAGGCAGATACCAGTAGTCATCACTCCGAGGGGGTGGGAGCCATGCACAGTAGGAAAAAGCCATCAAATGCCTGTGTGTAATCAAATATCATACAGTAGCCTAGGGAGATGGCTCAGCTGGTAAAGTACCTCCTGCACAGCATGAAGACCTGAGTTCAGATCCTCAGCACTCATGGAAATAGCCGGGCATATAGCACACATGTAACCACAGTCTGGCAGGCGGAGGAGCGGCAGAGGAATGATAGAGACAGGCAGATCCTCAGCACACTGGCCAGCCAGCCTAGCTAAATCAATGGATGAGCTTCTGGCCCAGGAAGAGCCCCTTTCTCAAAAGAAGAAATAAGAAGGAGTGCAATCAAGAGCAGTGCATGACATTGACCTCTGACCTACACACATGCACGCGCACGCATGCACGAGCAGATACACACAATCATAAAATGCATGCTTATAAACTGATGGAAAGCTCTCGAAGACAACATTCAGTGTCTAAAGTAAAAGGGGGAAATGAATGAACAAGTCAAAGATGAGTCCATGCATGGAGTGTTAGATAGGAGCAAGTTCAACTTTTCCTGGGGATGGAAGCACTAATCCAAAGTGAAACTGGGCATCGCGGCTGAGTGCTTGTCCCCAGATCTCTCCAGAACAGTCAATGGTCATTCCCAGAAAATGGCACAACGTTGGATTTCAATAGCTTTGGGGAAAGTCCTAGAAAAGTAATCTAAGAGGTATGGTTAGAATTGACTGTGTGGGCTATGTTTGCAGACCTTCATAATAACTAAGTCGAAGGCACACCTACGGCAGGGAGGGGAATGGCGGTGTGGAGGAGGAAGTCGTTGGAAGAGGGGCTACAGAAAAAAAAGACCAGAGTGTCATAAGAGCCATCCACGTGGAACTGACATCCTGAAGACTGAAAACAGGGGCTGGAGTCCACAGTGGCAAGGAACAAACTCATCTTCAAGGACATGAGCAGGTGAAGTGGGCTCAGCATAGCCCGAGGAGGTCTGACGACTTGGTAAGGCTGGTCAGGAAGCAGCAACAGGAGAGAAGGCTACCACCCACATCAGGCCAATGGGTTCAAGAGAGAGAGTCCAGCCCAAGAGCTCACGGGTCACATAGGGACAAGAACCAGGAGACAGGTGGTGGGTCAGTGGTCAGCGATACACTGCCAAAGGGGGTGGGAAGGGAGCTGTCCTCCGCCATGGTGCCTTTTCTCTTCTTCTCCACCACACTCCTGGGACTGTCCCACAAAAGCATCCTTCCTGCCTATCTCTCAGTCCCGCGATATTTCCCTGGAAGTCAAGCACAGCCAAGCAAAGCAACAGCAGGCCACAAAGCCACGGGGAGGCAGGCTACCAGGCAGCAGCATGACAGAATGGCATAGTGACGTGGCAGCCCAGAGGGTCCCATTCGCAGCAGCCTCTGTCTGTCACAGGAGGACTTCCTACCAGCCAGGAGGCCCAGCAACCTCATCCCCTCCGGTTTGAAACTGAGCACAAGCAGCTAAGGTATCTTGACGAGACAGAGCACAAAGCACTCCCAGGGCTGATTCTCTACTTGTGACGTCAGTGTCTGTGATAGAGAAAAGACCGCGTCTCCTGGGCATCTCCTACCAGCTAAGCTCTGTGCTCAGACAGGCAGGTCCCAAGTTGGACCTGACAACGCTCAGTTTAAAGACAGAAAGAAGGAAGCTACTGGTAGTGAATTGAACCCCGCACCTTCATCCATCTTGGAAACACTACACACCAAGGTCTTTCTAGTCATTCATTTCTCAGATGTGAACAACTACACCACATCTAAACCAATGTTTATATAGATAATCATACACTGGATTCGCCCCCTGGCTGCCAGGAAACTCTAAGAGTCCACCCATTTTATAGCCACAATGTCCCCCTACATAACACAACCTTGGGAGCAACCCAACTTGGGACCTAGGGTCTGAAAATATGAAGGAACAATGTTTTCCCACCACCATCTATGAAAAGGAATAGTTAGCATAATTCTCAACCTTCACCATATTATTATGCATTAGCACAGGAAACGTGAGCTAAGCTCCACATTTGTAAGCCTCTTTCTTCAAACTGGCCCTTCAAATTTCATTGAAACTGCAAAGAAGGAAGGCAAAGTCCATAGTAGAGCCTGACCCAGAGCCTGCCATATTGTCGGAAGCTCACAGCGGGCTATGTCAAAATCGGCAAGGGTGAATACTTATAAATACCCAGGACTGAATATTTTCTAAGTGAAAATTTAGTTATGGATGACTTCCTGAACATGACTGAATGATGTCTACAAAGCTAGAAAACTGTGCTCGGGAGGAAAGCCACTAATGAGATTTCCCCTGTGCAGCAGCAATTACTCGGCCTCCTAGGATACGGCAGGAAGCAAGCTTTTCGTCAATGCTGCATTTTTCTAATTCAATTTATGTATTTTCCTCCTGCAGTCCGTCATAAGCACACAGGGGTAAGGAGGTAAAAGCACAACACAGCGGAACCTGAATAGCTAGAAGAAAACAGCCTGAACAGGGAGGGAGGTCAGGCAAGGAGCTGGGTGGTCAGCCAGCGTAGTTACACATCAGAGTGGACAGGGTCCCCTCTGGTGGATCTACAAGCCTCTCAGTAATGGCCTTGACCCTGAATCACAGCCTTTAAGGGTGTACACACACACACACACACACTAAGTGACCCAGTATTTGAGCAGGGCATTGATCCTCCCACGTCCTCCATTTCCAACACACACACACACACACACACACACACACACACACACACACACACACAATTTTCTGCTTCACAATGTGACACTGCTTAGTCTCTCTGTCCATCTCTGGATATATTAATAATTGATTCTGAGTATCGTGGTCCCTGCTCTCCACCTACACATGACCATTTCCTAGTGTGCAGCTGTTGGTCCTCCACCTTCACCCTCACCTGGATGTCTGCTATGGTTTGAACGTGGTTTGTCCCCACCGTACTGAGTGTTCGTCCCCAACAGGGCGGTGCCAGTAGGTGGTGCCTTTAAAAGCTGATTAACAGACACCCCAGTATTTCTGTTGGCGTGAGTTAGGAGGCTCAGAAGTGGGATTAGTGACCCTAACAGTGGACTGTTACAAACTACATCAGTTCCCTGCCTGGGCTACTTTTCTTGCTGCTGTCACAAGGTACCCAGCAAACCCAAGTTAAGGGAGGAAGTGAGGTTTTGTCATGGCCCATGGTTTGAAGGTACAGTTCGTCGTGGTGGGGAGGGCATGGCAGCAGGAACACGGGGCAGCTGCTCAACGCCGCATCTGCAGTCAGGGAGAAGAGAGATGGGTGCCGGTGCTCAGCTCGCTCTCTCTCTCTCCTTTTCAATCAGTCTAGAACCCCAAGCCCTGGACTGGTGTTGCCCACATTTAGGGTAGATCTTCACACCTCTCTTAGCCCAATCTAGAATCTCCTTCACAGGTAAGCCCAAAGTTTTTTCTCCCAGAGATTCTAACTCATGTTGAGAACCATCAACCATTGCAGATCACACTTATCTCCCCTCTCTCTTTTCTCCCCTCCCCTCTCATCCGTGACATAACTAATGTAAAATTCTGGTACCCACCTCAGACCTAATGACTCAAATGCATGATGGGAGAGTTTAGAAAGCATTCAAACTGAGAATAATTTGGTCTTTGGGAGCCAGAGTCAGACACTGTGAGAAGTTGCATCCCCATGGACCCCATTTGGCACAATGGAACTCTATCTCTCAGAGCTTGAAACACAGGCTCATCTGCTGCTAGGAGCCTTTGGAGAATGCAATTTTATGTTTACTGGAAATTTACTATATGCTGGCAGGTGCTCACTGGAGTAATGCATCTTCAAGATGTTTGAGATTCAAGAGGACCACAGGGACACCTGGTTCTTACATGCTCACCAGCAGTTTCTCCCTTCTATTCAACATGGGAGAACACAGAGCCTCTCGTCTGACATAATATTGAACAATTCAGAAACTTGCAAGACTTGAACTTCTATACCCAGCTGGTAGCTTGGGTATAACTCATTTCTATCTGCTGTTATATCTTAAAATCTTGAGTGTGTCTCCAAAAGGGCCTATGGTGTAGGCACCCATGGTGGCAGTGTTGGGAGCAGGGAAAGCTCTAAGAGGTAAGGTCTACTGGAAGATCATGGGGACTGCTGATGCCAGGAAGTCATGCTGATCTTGAGGAATGAGATCTGGTTGCAGCACAATGAAGTCATCAGCACTTCAGCCTTCTGCCCATGGCTAGCTAGTTCTGCCCATGGCTAGCTAGTTCTGCCCATGGCTAGCTAGTTCTGCCCATAGCTAGCTAGTTCTGTCCATGGCTAGCTAGTTCTGCCCCATGGCTAGCTAGTTCTGTTCATGGCTAGCTAGTTCTGCCCATGGCTAGCTAGTTCTGCCTCATGGCTAGCTAGTTCTGCCCCATGCTAGCTAGTTCTGCCCCATGGCTAGCTAGTTCTGCCCCATGCTAGCTAGTTCTGTTCATGGCTAGCTAGTTCTGCCCCATGGCTAGCTAGTTCTGCCTGTGGCTAGCTAGTTCTGCCCGTGGTTAGCTAGTTCTGCCCATGGCTAGCTAGTTCTGCCCTTGGCTAGCTAGTTCTGCCCCATGGTTAGCTCATTCTGCCCCATGGCTAGCTAGCTCTGTTCATGGCTAGCTAGTTCTGCCTGTGGCTAACTTATTCTGCCCGTGGCTAGCTAGTTCTGCCTGTGGCTAACTTATTCTACCCGTGGCTAGCTAGTTCTGCCTGTGGCTAACTTATTCTGCCCGTGGCTAGCTAGTTCTGCCCATGGCTAGCTAGTTCTGCCCATGGCTAGCTCGTTCTGTCCGTGGCTAGCTAGTAATGCCCGTGGCTAGCTCATTCTATCCATGGCTGCCCATGGCTTTCTGCTTCTCTGTGACACCGCTAGGAGTTAGGGAATTGCATCAGAGACTAAATAGATGGTACCTACCTGGTATTAGGCCTCCAAAAGTGTGAGCTAACTATAAGTTTTTCTTCAAAAAGCACCTAGCATCAGGCATTTTGTTTTGGCCACTCAAAACAGACTAAGACGTGTAGAAGCCATGCCCAGGCTTTGACTATTCCTGTGGGTACCATCTAGAGAAGAAGGCGGGAGGCAAAGGGACATCTGTTTCACGGAAACCCTGGATGATTCCCTTCCCTGCCGTTTTTCACTGTAGTCTTTCCCTCGGCTGGTGATCCAAGGGATGCTTCTTGCTCCCCCACCCCCAGGCCAGAAGAGAAGGCCCACAGCCCCACCAGCTTTCACCTACCGCACTGGTCTGCACAGACTCGTCTTCCGGTTTGGCTCTTATGTCAACGACTCCATCAGCGTGGCGGAAGGAGCAGTCAGTAAGGACATCATAAAAGGTCAGTTTCTGGGCCTTCAAGCTGTATTTCTGGAGCCACTGCTGAGAATCCCAGGTGTCTTCTGTGTTTTCTTTATTCTCGGCAGGTGTTGCTCCTGGAATCATAGTTCATCAGTCGCTCAGATAGCATGACCAGTTCCTCCAACACTCCCACCCTCATATTTACTGTCTGGAACATTCCCGCTAAGACCATGGAGCCCAAGCATCTCCTCAGGAAGGGGGGGACTCTTCGTTTTACCTCATTTCCTCCTCTATGTGTGTGAAATGGCCTCACACCAGAATGGCTCTGGCTGAGAGACTAGGACCAGAGGCCAAGAAAGCATTGAATACAGGGTCAGAAGCTTTGGGTTCAAGTCCTGGCTGTGCCCTCTACTACCATAGGCAAGTAGCTCAGATGTTGATTCACCCATTTGGCCATTCTGAGCTCAGGCAAATATCTCTACCTGCAGATGGAAGACGGTATCTGCTTGGCCTTCGTGGAGATTCTGATTTTATATTTATGGAGAATTTATTCTAGGCTGCCAGGTTATTAATATAATGTATTCATTCTATTCAGTATGGGAGGAGAGTGGGATTTTCTTTTGACACACTGTTAACTAATCAGGGACTGCTAATGCCTGAATTCCTATAGGCCTAGTTCATGGCTTAGGTATAGCTCATGTAAACTAGTGATATAATCTAGAAATGTCTTGAGAGCGGACCCAAAAGTTTATGTGGTAGATATTTGGTTCCCAGGGTGGCAATGGGGCTTCTCATAGTCAGTTCTCAATATTAGTGGTTTCTAAACTCCAGCAACATGCATGAGGGTCATGAGGTCTGGGGCAGAGACCGAGATTTTGCATGAGTTGTGTCTCCGTTCATTTTGTGTTGCTGTGGCAAGCAGAGCAATTCAGCAAATCTAGTCACTTGTGTGTGCTTCACGCAAAGGGGATATAGAAGGAGGCTCATGCAGCCTCTAGGCAGGCAAGGTCAGACAACATGCAAAGGTCGCTAGGCCCTGTTCAGAGTGTGGCCCTCAGCTCTGCGGGCTCAGAAACCTCATCTGTCAGCTGAAGTGCCTGGCGCTCTATCTAGAATGTCTCATTCTCTCATCTCACAGGGTACACCCCACAAGGCTAGCTGTCCACCAGCGTTAGGTACATTCTCCTCTGCTGTCTTCCAGAGGTCAGCAGTACCAGTGTATCCCGTCTCCAGGAAGGACTGGTTCAAGGACCACGCTGTGAGCACCTCAATCAGAGGCTGCTTAAACTTCTTGTGATGGTGCACGAAACCGACACCCTTGCCCCTGTACACTTCAGATCATCCCTAGATCCCGTGTAAAACCCGACACAGGGCAACACTTGCCCACGGTCGCCGTACTGTACTGTTTAAAGAACACTAACAGAATCCCTGCGCATGGCTGGTACAGTGGCTTTTTTTTTTCTTAAATATTTGTGATTCATAGTCGGTTCAGTCCTTGGAGCCTAAAACTACAAGGCACTAACCGACATCAAAAGTTGCTCCTGGGGTTTGTCCTGCTTTGTTTTCCGTTGCTGTGAAAAACACCGAACTAACTGCAAGGGTTTATTTCAACTTACCGTGTATAGTTCATCATCTAGAGAAGCCAACGCAGGAACCCAAGGTAGGAACTGAAGCAGAAGCCACAGGGAAACACTGCTTCCAAGACTCACTCACCTTGCTTTCTCAGACAACCCAGGACCACGTGCTGAGGGGGTGACACCGCCCACAGTGGGCTGAACTCTCCCACATCCACTATTAATCAAGAAAATGCCCCCCAGACAAGCCCACAGGCAGAGCTGATGGAAGCAATTCCTTTTTTGAGGTTCCCCTTTCCCAGGTGACTCTAGTTTGTATCCAGTTGTCAAAAGCTAGCCAGCACGGAGTTAGAGAGACGGCTCTGTGGTTAACAGCATGTACTGCTCTTGCAGGGGACCCGAATATGGTTCCCAGCACCTGTACTGAGCAGGTCACATCTGCCTGTAAGTCCAGCTCTGAAGATTCCAATGTCCTCTTCTGGTCTTTGAGGGCACCTAAACTCACATGCATGCATGCACGCACGTATATACACACACACTATTTTTTAGTAAAAATAAATCTTTAAATGAAAGATTAACTTACTGCTAGGCTTACCACATGTAAGGGGCTATATAATTAGACCAGAACCTGGGGAAATAAAACAGCTTGCAGCCAATTAGTCCTCCGTAATGTGTGAAGAGGCTGCCTGTGAGTGTGTCAGCTGAGCCGTTGTCCTCAGATTTTAAAACAATGCCTCGACAGACTCACTCTGAAACCTCCTGGAGTCGGAACTGATTAAAGAAGGCTCTGCTTTCAAACTTCAAGCCAATGTGGCATCAAAAGCCCCTCTGAGCGACATCCTGAACGGCAGCCGTTGGCGTCCATGTAAACCACAATGTCTTCCTACCCTTCTCAAGGAATTCAAGCAGCTGCCTCCCAGGACACTCAGCCCCTTGAGCTTCCCCTGGGAGCTTTTGGCACCACTGCAAGCAGCTAAAAGATGTGGTTGTCTGTAGGGAGATGAGCATCCTTGGAGATGCCTTCCTATGACGTCTTCAGTCGTTGTTAATCACTCTCTGCATCTTGGGCTCCTCTTTATGCCCTCCTTATATAGCTGGTCCCTTTCCTCCTTTTTCCTGTTCAAATTCTTCATTCAATGATTTCCATAGCAACACGTATCCTTTTGCTCTGGGGGCCTACCTTCTTAAGGAAAAGATGAAGGTTCTTCATCAAGGATAAATCCAAACTTAGGAGAAGAAGAACTTTCTGGAAGCCATACAAACCAGTCCTAGCAAGGGTTTTTAAAGAGTCTAAGATGAACCTTCACCTTCCAGCATCAGGCAGGACCAAGGGTGCAGCCACTTAAGGACAGGAGCCAGGCTCCCAATTATCATCAAAATGGGGGTGAAGACCCCTTCCAACCTGAGCCTCATAAAGGAAATCAGAGGCAGCCAAGCAACCAAAGCAGAGAGCTCCGGCGTGCCAGATCTGGAGAAATGAGGGGAGAGTGAAGTATTTTTCATATTCATCCACTGCTAATTACACCAATTAGTGGCTGAGCCTTGTTAGCCTGAGGAAGGGAAGGAGAAGGACATCATCTGTTCATTAGCGTCGCTCACTGAGGGATCCTTTCCCAGTTCTCTGGCAGTTATTTTAATTAAGAGTGTCGTATGAATTCTCACCTCCCGAGCCTTCGCTTACGGCAGAGGTGTGAGCTCACAGTGATTCTGATCACACGCACCACACCTCCACATGACAGATTGCTAAAGATGTACTTGGAGCTCCAAGCAAGGGAAGCAGACCGTGGAGCACATTCACATTGTAGAATTTATTTGCCTGGTCCTCTCTGTCCTACTGATCAGTCTCAAAACATTTTTTTTCCAGGCATGAAGCCATACTGAATAATGCTTTTGAAAAGCATCGTGGTATAACCAGGGACACAATCAAAATGATATTGAGTACGGCTTATCAGTCCCCCCTCCCCCACAGCAACACCTTCTGACACTACACCTACCCTCAAAGTGAGATCCCTAAGGTACCATTAAGGATTTACCACCCCCCACAAACTGCGCCCTCTCTCCCCCTCCAATGAAAGGTACTCCGCCGCCACATGGTTCCTGCTATGCTAGGTCCATGAGCTGTCCCTGAATGAGGGCACTCCCTTTCTAGAGATAACATCAATCTGATGGCTCTCCTGGCAAAGGCCACATGCTCTGTCCCCCACGGAGTACCAATTGCTGCTACTCAGAAAGAGGGCTCCTTAGGCAAAAAGCTGGAGAAACTAAAAACTTGGGGATTATTGATGACTTTAAGACTTTTCCCCCCCAGAGCATGGGGCTCACTGCAAACAGGACTCCCAGTTATCCTGCTTGGGAATCTGAAGTTATTTAGATTCAGAGTCTCTTTATCCAGGGAATTATGGAGGGCTTGTGGTCTACACACCAGAGCCTGATGCACAATGGAAGGGAATTGAGGGCAGCTGGGAACAGAGGGAGACAGACTCTAGGAAATCCCAGTCCCTCTTGTGGGGTGAGTCCCTCAGCAGTGAAAAGCTAGAGCACCTACTGATGAGGGATGTGCTCAGGACCTCGCAGGTACCAGGCGGGAGGGTGGAGACTGAGGGCAGAAACCCACCATCACTCCTGGAGGCTTCTCAGCAAAGATGGAGATAAATATCGGTGGTGTCCTGGGCACTGTGCATGAGGGTTGAGGCCCCTGGGATGCACAGAGGGGCCTGGTGTGGAAGGTCAGATGTGTGCCTGGGTCCAAGCAGGAAGCTTTCAACCCTGCTCTGAAAGGAATATCAGGTAGCTGGCAGGAACCTGTTTGAAACTCTTAACTTCAAGGGAGAATAAAATGGAGTCCCAGGGAGTTCTAGGCCTGTTCTCCCCTGGAATACTATAAAGTGATTTTATTTATTTATTTACTTACTTATTTTTTACTTCCTTCTTGTTAATTTCAAATCTGTAAAAATCAAAGTATGATTCCATTGCAGTGAAGGGCTCTGTCACTCACCCAATTTGTTTATTCCAACCCTCGGGTCACTAGTCCCTAGGATCCCCTGAGAGTGAAGAGGAGAGGAGGAGAGAAAAGAATGAGGTGGGAAAGAAACAGGCTTGAAAAAGAAAGCAAAGCTCTAACAATGAAGAGAACACAGGGAGGAACGAGGACCCTTTGGGCCACACTTTGCTCACATTCTCTTCTGCTTCTCACTCTGAGAGCAGCATGGCAAATGGCTTTCAATACAGGCAGCTTCTCAGCTGTGAGCGGGGCAGCTTCAGGAGGACACTAAACCGTGATGCCTGCCACAGACTACTCAGCGTGAAGAGCAACAGTTCAGCCCAGTGACAAACCCGCACAGGGTTAAGAAGAAAACATTATCAGGAGCCCAGGCTGCAGAAGAATCACAGGCAGCGTGCTCCAACAAGCCTCCATGCCATGGCCTTCGCAAGTGGGAACAGCTGAGGACCACTGAGGCCGGCACCCACCTGTACCTCCAACAGCAACTTTTAAAGCAACTGGGCTGGGAGCTAGAGAGATGGCTCAGCAATTGAGAGGTGAAACGTGAAACAGGCCCCCA